TTTAATAAAAAAGTGTAGTTCATTAGTTGAGACTAGTAAATTGTATTTGAGAAAGTAATGTAGAATATTGAGAAAGATTTAGTTTCATTTTAGAAAGGGGTCTTTTGGCATTTAATTATTGTATATTTAAAAAACCCCTTCCTTATAGAGCTAAGCTAAAATTTGATTTTCTCATTACTATTAAATCACAAGTTCTCAAATACAACCTTTTCTTAAATACGTATAATTCACTGGTCTTAAATTATGACTTCTCATAAGATTGGAAAATGTTGTTAAATATTAGATTAAATAAATTTGTTGTTCCTATTGTTTTTAGCGGATATCCTGTATAGGGAATAAGCTATTACCGTAGGGCTCATAGTAAGATATTCAATTCATTTTCTCATCAATTTATTTGATTTGTTACTCATAAATAATTACTCTAAACTCTCTGGTTTTCGAAAAAATAGGTTAGAGAGTATGGGGTTAATTTTACCAAATATTCCTTTAAGTTATTCTTGCATTTACTTAAGTTTTGTTCACCAATAAATGACCTTCGTAAATGAAACAAAAATTTTGTTTCCATATATTTAGTTTTCTTTTTGAAAAACTCTAAATTGTGTGGTTCTATCGGTCTATTTAATCTAGTGTTGTAGGCCTACGGATGAACATTGTTTACAAATTGTGATTTTTTAGTTGTTTCACATACATTACAGTCTCTAAAATGTAAAGAGCATAAACCGTTACGATTTTTGTAGAAATAAATAAAGGTTTAACAGATTTACCCATTTTTAACTTAAACATAATTCTTAAAGCATTTTTTTGTTTCCGCAAGATTTTATCTAAATTTGTCTGAGTTGTTGCTCCGTAAATGCTTATTCCGTAGGACAGGTGAAAATGAATTAAAGAATAATAAACAGTGTTTAATGTTTATAATTTACAAAATTTAGCCATTTATCTTGTCTCAAGGCAGACAAACCTGTTGACATTTTGTTAACAACATGTTTTGTATGATCGTCCCAGCTCAGATTAGCGTCAATGAAAAGTCCCAGAAATGTTGTCCTAAAAGACATCCTAAAAGACTTCCTACTTTGTAATTAATAACAAAACAATCTGTTTCCAAGCTAAACCGTGACTAAATGAAGTGCTTCGCGGTTAGTAAAAAGTTTTCGGCGACCCACACTAATCCTTTGATACAAACTACTACGTCCTGTCCTTCTCTTCAACCTTCCCGCTAACACGGGTTAGCTATCTGCTCTGCCATGAGTTTTAAACCGGTTGTTAGACTCTTTTGTATAAATCCTAAGACTTTTTACTTTGCACTTTACTACCATAACAATCTGTTTAAAAGCTACACCGTGAACTGCCAAAACAATTATTATTTAGATGAACCCAACAATTAATTAGTACCCCACTATTTTTTATTGCCAGGCTTAGGTAAATTTATTCTCTACCCTGCTTACTTGTTATACTTGTAATATTTGATTTTTGCATCTTTGGCCAACGAAAGTTGGATAGATTGAGTTATACAACACTAGGCCTAATACTTTAAAAATCTCTTTAAACATACTTATTTTTGCTCTTGCTTAAGTTATTATCTTTATTCACCACCAATAGAACCAGCTTTGTTCCTCAAGATTTATACTGCGCCTTGCGGTCAGTAAAGATCCAAACAGTAAAATGAAAAAAAAAAACGAAGAAGATAAAACTTAAACATTTTGTACATTTCTTAAATTTATTGTTGGTTTGAATTTGTTTCACAGATGAAGTAATAATATTCTTTAATTATTTATGTCATTGGATAATTCTTTTTCAATGATGACCCAATTGGGTCTGACGATGATTGGAGTTTCCAATCGAAATCTATTAAGACTTATCTACTTTTGTTATGTATATTTACAGTCTCGTGAGTAAAACATGAGTGTGAATTTATTTTTTAAGTCTAACAGTCGTACTTTCTTTTATTTATGTTTAATTAAATTAGTGCAATAAGGCGTATATCCAAAAGTTATCATGATTAAATAAAAATTAAAAAACTATATTCCTGTCCCTATACATGCAGGCAAGCCTATTTACTTGATACAGGCAGATTATGCAAATATTATTTCTTAACATATTGTATAGATGTGTCCATCAGGCTGTGTTTTTTTTCGTAAATTGGCAGTACTGTATTACAAATCATTGTTAGAGACTGTGAACTGTGAATCTTGGTAAAGTTCTGTTCTCTAATATTTGTTGTTTTTATGTTATCTTAATAATGAGTCAGCATAATAGTTATTTATTGGTTTGCGTTGGACAATAAGCGGGCGGGGCTGTGCGGTTGCTGTAAAGAAGCCTGCATGCGCTCTCTTTGCTGACGCCCCACACTACATCAGTTTGTTCAGCTCGTTTATATCTCTTTGAAAATAGTTTTTAGAAGATAACTTTAGTACAAAGGTTGTACATAAACGAATTATAAATAATACAATCAAATTTAAATACGATGGCATACGTAGAACTTGAATTACATCCAATAAAGTTAACGTCTACGATTTCCAGGTTTGGAGAGGGCGGGGGAAGGTTTAAGGCGGAGAATAGGCAACTTTTCGAAAATACACGTCTTGAGTGGTTCTATCACATACAACAAATCCAGCTTTCCACGATTTCAGCTATATTTAGCTACGAAAAAAGGCAGTTTTGTGCGTTCATTGACAGGGCATAGATGCGACGACGCAGCGCAGAGGTGTTCAACTAGCGCGCACGCGCTCTTTTTGCCGACACCCAGCACTTAACCCGCTAACCTAGATTACTAACCAATATCATGTTTGTACACCTTAAAAACGTACTAAAACTTTTGTTTGAAGCATATTTCTAAATTATTTATATTTAAAAAAGTCTATTAAGAAAAACAAAATTGTGTACTCTGAAATAAAGCTTTTAACGAAGTTTAAATTTTATATCTCCCTAAGTACTAGTTTTAGAAAAATATTGTAAATATAAAAGTTGTAAGTAAATTAACTAGAAATAAAAAAACACAAATTGCAACACTCTAGCTTACATCTGACTCTACCTATGATCAGTTAAGTGAAACAATGCAATTTCTAGGTTTTGAGGTGGGTGGGGGGGGGAAGCTGAAGGGATAGAAATGGGGACTTTTGGAAAAATACACCTCTCACAAGGTTCTAACCAGCTTTCCACCATTTAGTTGCGATAAAAAACATTTATTTAGGAGGTCACGAATTGTGGATATTTATAGGGATGCAATGTGGATGCGAGGCTCCCCCTGGTGTGGATTAACGTCCGCGCTAGTGAGTACTACGACTATCCGCATTAGTACTATCCAAATAATTAGACCAATTCGTTAATTACGAGGAAACATGTGGTTCGGATTCCACAATAAACTATGTAGGTCCCTTAGTTGCTATTAATGCTGTATGGGCTATTAATTATATCAGTTGTGTCTAAGGAACATGTCGGCCTTAGTCACTAACAAGACTACAAGATCGTTCCACTCATCCTACACTCATATTTGGGTTAAAATACGCACATAGTGGCGTGTCCCCATGTTAAATAATTGATAATTCACACAAACCATCCTTGAATAATGCCTAATAATGCCTGAAACTTCCATTACAATCTGTCGAGCGGTTTCGGAGTTCATAACGTTGAAATATATATATATATATATATATATACATATACTCATATATACAAACTTCCTCTTTTATAAATACAGATTTATTTAAAATTGATGGCATTATTTTCCACATTTTAAGACGTTGTTCAAATAAAGCCGTAATAGTTATTCAAACAATTTTATAGTCCCAAAATTAGTTTTTTACGTCTCAAATGTGAGTATTTCTGTGTTATTTTGTCTTAAAAAACGTACACTAGTCTTTAAAAGGAGACCATGATTTATTTATTTATTCCAACGGGAAACCCATTACATTTAAATCCATTACAATGTTACATAATCAATGCCCTACAATTGGTTTTCACTTTTGCGCCTTAACATCTGCAGTTGTTTAATTCTATGGAAACTCAAATCCCAAAATAAATTATATGTCGTCTGCACTTAGATAAACGATAAATAGATTATGGTCGTCTGCAATGAGTGGGCCACTGGGCCAGTCAGTCAGGCTGTCAGGCAGTCACAGTGTTGCCACTTTTAGGGTAATTACCCTTTTTTAGGGTAATTTACTGGTCTTAGGGTAAAGTTTAGGGTAATGGTAGATTTAGGGTAATTTTAGGGTAAAACTAAAAGTTAGCATAACAATGGAAATTTTACTAAAAAATGAAAAAAAACTTCAAAATTTGGCAAAAAACGTTCACTACATACTATGGTCAAACCATCATATTCGATTCATATCGGTTTAAATCGATTGCTATGATGAATTTTTCATAATAAGTTATCCTAATCTATCTTATCAATAGTTTGGAATTATCTGTTTTAGAAGGTATTTATTCTATAACACGTTATAGGCCTAATAAAATATGAAATATTATTCATTACTAGGTTTGATATTTAATTATGTGGCTGAATTGAATTAAACTGGATTATTTTACAAATTGTGTCAAGAAATTACTACTATGTATAGATTAAAGCTTTGATGGTACCGTGCTGTATTTTTAAGATATGATTGTCCAAAAACAGTAGTAATGGGTCGATACAGTAAAAAAATACGATAGTTCTTGATTCGATATTTTTTATACGATAGTCGACAGAGCTGATCGATCAATATCAACATTTTGTTAATCTTCTTTCGGGTAGTTTTTTAGAATCGAGTATAATTTAACGTAAATTGATTGATATTGGAACTTCATTTAGTATAATTAACCATCTTATGTAGGATTTATATGATTTTAACAATGTTTTATAGCATTAAACGTAAATATTAACATTTAGGGTAATTTTTAGGGTAACTCAAAGTAGATTTAGGGTAATTTAGGGTAATTTTAGCCCGCCTTTAGGGTAAAATCGCAACAACGTGGTGGCAACACTGGGCAGTCAGACTCAGACTAGTCAGTCAGCAGAGTCAGAGTGTGACAGTCAGTCAGTCAGTGACTTGACTACTTGACTACTAACTGACTGAGTGAAGACAGTTAATGACTAACTAACTAGTGTAGTGCTAAGTGCTAGTATGTTTTATCTATGGTGCTAGCTAGTCTGCTAGTATATTATAGTGAGCGAGAGCGAGAGACCAAGACCAAAACCAGGCCAGAGCCCAGAAGCACTGCAGAGCAGAAGTACCGAAGTCTGATTGTCTAGTGATTGATGATGGGCCACAGATAATATAACCCCTACTAGGGGTATACATTATACACACGGTTTATACATATTATATATTATACGGTCTTTTAGGGGTCATATTATCTGTGGTTAGGCCTATAGGGGAAGGGATAGGGAGTAGGCCTATAGATACTGTAGTCAAATAACGACTACAATAGTAAATTTGGCCTTATATTAACTTAAGTAACTTATAAAGGAGTTGAAAATAGTTTCGGTGCGAATTAAATAATGGTTAAGTGCCAATAGGGGTACAGTTTCTTAACTGGGCTATGCTAATATCGATTGAAACTATAGATTCGATTAGTAAACCTTCATGCGATTTTTTCACCATCAGCAAGTTTGGTTGGTTAGGTTAGGTTAAGATAGTTTAATTTGATAATAAATATAAATATCGATTATTAATCAATATTTTCAATTCGATAGTTTCAATCAATATTAGCATAGCCCAGTTAAGAAACTGTACCCGCCAATAGTCCTAAATGCTGACAGTAACCTGCTCAGTGGAAAAGATAACGTTTTACCTTTTATTTGGTGTAGGCCTACAGCGATATATTTTTATCTAGGCTATTGCATTTTTCTTATTTCCCAGACCGTTAAGGGCTGAGGTGCTCTTTGTAGCTCGTGGGAAATATTTGTATTTTAATTTTCTTAAAATTCCAGACGCTAGCCTACATCTTGATGCTAATGTTCAACAATGACGGTAAGTTTTATGTTTGGACTTGATAATCTACATTAGTTAGTAGCCTAGCCTAATTTTAGGTAACTTATTTAACTTTATTGGTGTTAAAAACGTTATAACAATTAATTTTATGATGGGATATTACAACAAATTCAATGCATTTGGCAAAATAACCACTTATTAAGATTTAGGCTAGATATTTACTTGAAACTTGCAACGAAGGTATATCCACATGTATTCTAAACGTATGTAAAATTTGGTAACAATTAAGTAAATAAACGGTATCAGCATTCTGACACATACTTTCTCCAGTTTGTCAACCACCTTTATCATATTGTGTAAGCGGTGAGAGTAAATATACGGAATTGGGATTAGTATAATCTTGTTAAGAATTTAAAGGACTACATACAAAATTTTTATCAAAATCGTTTTGGGCCAGTTTTGTGAAAATCCGATTTTTCCGTTATTTTATGGGGTTTTTTATGGGAAAATAACATAATTTACAATATCTTTTGAACCGTAATTTTTACAGAAATGGGATTTGTACCATTTTCTTTAGAATAGGTATAAAGGACTATAACATACCAAATGTTTATCAAAATCGTTTAGGCCGTTTTTGGGAAAATCCTATTTTTCTGTTATTTTATGGGGTTTTATGGGAAAATTTCCATAAAAAAATATTTTTTTTTAAATAAAAAAACTATCAAAACTTTAAGGACCATAACATACTATGTTAAATTAAAACCGGATTTTTTTTCTAAAATCCTATTTTCGTTATTTTACGGGGTTTTTATGGGAAAATAACATAATTTACCATAACTTTTGAACCGTAATTTTTAGAGAAATGGAATTTGTACCATTTTGTTCAGAATTTAAAGGGCTACAACATACTAAATTTTTATCAAAATCGTTCGGGTCATTTTTGAGAAAATTCGATTTTTCCGGTTTTTTTATGGGAAAATCCCCATTAAAAATCAAAATTTCAAAAAAATGAAAAAAAAGCCTGGAGATACCATGGACCTACATACCAAATTTCATCGAAATCGGACCACAGGTGTAGTCCCTAGCTCTGTACACATCCAGACACACAGACACACACACACACACACACACACAGACATCACTTTGAAAACCACTTTTTTGGGTCCAGGGGGACCCAAAACGAATATATCCACTCAAAACTCAAACTCGAAAATTTTGACGAAAACAATACTTTCTCCATATACTATGGTATAGGGGGAGAAAGTAAAAATATTTAAACCAGGCCTATTTTATTAACAAAATACCCCCGCCGCAGCAAACCTGCAGACTAAGCGAATTTCAACTTGTCTGATTACATTTTTACTAAAATATTTCCATAATGTTAAATATTTAGTAATTCAACTAAGGACATTTAATAAAATATTTATTTAATAACATATGAACTATATACAGTCAAATATAAACAATTAATCAAGTAGTATTAACATTCAAGTTAAGTTTTTAGTTCAGTTATTGAAAGGATACAACAGCTGATATCCAGAGCTGTCATCCACTGTCCAAAGTTCACTACAGCACTTCGTACTAGTCAGTTCAGTTTAGACTCACCTCTCTCACAGTACACAGTGCTTACCTTTTGGTTTAGTTCATATTAAATATTTTAATCTCTCTTTCTCTCTTACCGCTCCAAGTGCATTATTTCATCATTTCTCATTTAAATATGGATTCCAAATTTATAGTACCAAGTGTCAAGCTAGGATCCAAGAAGATATTTTTATTTAAAGTAGATGTGTTGTAAATTTTCGTGTACAGTCCAGAATATTCATGAGTAGTGAATTGCTTTCTTTTTATTAATGAAGAAGAGTTTTAATTTAAATCAGTGAAGAATTACATACTACACAACAATAGTCATTTCTCAACATCATCTTTCATCTGTGGTCCTTCGATTCTCGTCACTCTGGCCAGAGCCATCGCTTCTCTGCTCATCTTGTTCCTGTTCTACCAAAACCCTAATGGATCTTCAGTTTTAGGATCTAAAGGTATTTCTCACAATTTTACCTCTTAATACCATATATAACATGGTCCTTCGAGCCGGATGTTTCCCAGCCTATGGAAAATAATCTACTGTGACTATTAAGTTTTGTATTTATTTGAACTGAATAAATTAATTGAATAAATCTGTCATCAACATTAAGTATCATTAACAAGAGGATTAAATATTTTTGATCACATTATTATCAATTTATTAAATTGTTGCAGTAATTTGTGAAATAACACATAAAGTTTTGTTGTCCCAGACAGAAAATTTTGTTCTCAGACTGTACTGTCTACAACTCCTGTATTTTCATGCATAGTTTGTCTATTCTCTATTGTGCATTATCGGGCTGCATCCTGTCTGCCCCCCTCTCTCCCCCCTGTAATGTGAAACAAGTTTCTCTCTTGTTGCTGAATATTCAGAAAATCATGGAAGTCATACCAACTTCACAGCTGATCAACACTAGCGCTGCTGATGGATAGAAATGAAAACTTAAATGTCATTATGCAAGACTTTGTTTATGTTTTCATAACCTCAATTGTTTGCTTACACTTTTAAATTAAAGTGACAGAAGAATGTTTATTAATACGGATTGAACATTTAATTACAGTTTGTGTTTGAAATAACATGTTTTATTGAATTTCAAATTTATTATCTGGAAATAATTGCAGGTAGATATTTTCTGGGACTTAAACTTTTTATAGGCCTATACTATGGCTGAATATTTCTCTTTGATTTCAAGTTGACTAATATTAATATTTAATACAATGAATCCTGGCTGTCTTTAAATAAGTTTTGCTCATTATAAACTTATTTTAATCTGCATTTATTTTTATTTTGGAATTTTATTGAATTTAAGACTTATTCAAAATGAGGTTCTCAACTTTTGTGAAGCAATCTGAGCTTGTGCTAGCCAGGCTTAAGTCAATTGAAGCAAAAGTGCTTGCTATCGAAAAGGAACCTGTCACTCCTCAACTTATAACAAAGCTCACTCTTTTGGATTCCACCGCTACAGCAAAAAATAATGATTTTGACAAATTAGTGAATAAGTTGTTCGGCACTGTGCCTTTACCTGAGGAATTAGATGAAAGTGAAAATATCACTACAATTTCAACATTACAAGATGAAATAAGTGATCTCTATGTGTCTATTCACTCTTTGTGTGTGAACTTGATACCTTCCCCAAGCTCTAACCAGTCGAGCCAGCCAAACCTGGATGATTCCAATGCAGCTATCAGCCAAGTAGCTACAACTAAGGTTAGTGTACAGCTTCCTAAACTTCAACTTGGTACCTTCTCAGGTCAACATGAAAAGTGGATGGCGTTCAAAAATTTGTTTGAAAATACTATTCATAAAAATGATAGTATTTCTGGTGTTGAAAAAATGAGTTATTTGTTAAGCTGTCTTGAGGAAGAGGCACTTTCAGTTGTTAAAAACATCCCTATGACTAATGCTAATTATTTTATTGCATGGGAATCTCTACTTAAAAGGTATCAGAATACAAGATTACTAATCTCTCTTCATGTCAACAATGTGTTAGACTTACCAGTTCTTCACAATCCCTCAGTGAAGCAACTTAGAAGGTTTTTGTCTGTTTTAAATGAAAACATTGAAGCACTTAAAGCTCTAGATGAAGAAATTTCTCAGGAAAATTTAATTTTGACCTCTCACTTGTTAAGAAAATTTGATTCTGATTTTCGCCATCATTTTGAACAGAGTCGAAGTGATAACTCTGTAACTCCTAAGTTAGATGAGTTAACCAAGTACATTGAGTCTCACTGTGTAAATCTTGAAGCAGCTAATCTTACTAATGTGGGATCATCTCTTAAGGGTACCTTAGGCCACCACACTCAAGTAAAACCCCCTCAGCGCTCAAATAAATCGGCGCTTATTGCAACTCCTCGCACTGTTTGTACATTTTGCGCAGGTGCAGATCACAAAATCTATCAATGCAAAGGTTTTCTTAAATTGACTTCACAAGAAATGTATAATTTTGTTAAAGGCAAAAATTTGTGCACCAACTGTCTTGGCGATAAGCATAAGGTAAAGGAATGCAATTCATGGCGTACATGTTCTACGTGTAAAAGAAAACATCACTCTCTTTTGCATTTTATGGATTCTGAAAATAATCCCTCTCCTAATGTGTCTAAAGGTAACACAGACAAACGAGCTCCAAGTTCTGACTCAAATAAAAATGAATCTGGTTTTGTTGGTTTGACAAATACAGAGAACACAGTTCTTCTTGCCACTGCTTTAATTGTGGTAAAATCAAGCGAAGGTAAGACCCTAGTTTGTAGGGGAGTTTTAGATTCTGCTGCTCAGTCTACCTTCATTACTCAAAGATGTGCTCAGTCTTTAGGGATTAAGCGCTCTCATGCTAATAAAACGCTTATTAATGGCATCTCGTCTGCTCAGGTGAAAACAAAAGGGTTAACTCATGTCACTCTCCAGTCCCTTAGTGGATATGTATTGGCAAGCTCTCACCCTGTCTTCATTTTGGATAATATCACTCCAGATTTACCTCGAGCTAAGATCACTCCTGAAGTTCGCTCACAGATGCAACATTTAATGTTAGCCGATCCTACTTTTGATAAACCCGCTCCTATTGATGTTCTAATTGGAGCTGACCTTTTTGCCTCCTCTGTGAAAGGCCAGTTTTTGTCACTTGGTGAGAATATGCCTGACACCATTTTTGGATATGCGCTCTTAGGATCGACCCCTGTCGCCTCAACTTGCAAAAATTCATTTCATGGATTAGTCACACTCTTAACCACCAATAGTTTGGATCTTCACACCTCTATCCAACAGTTTGGGGCTGTAGAGGAACCCCCTCTTACAAGCAAGCAATCCTTAGCCGAAGAAAAATGTGAAAAACATTTTGTATCTACGCACTCTCGCACTCCTGAAGGAAGATATATTGTCTCTTTGCCTTTCTCAGACGATCCGTCAACATTAGGCAACTCGAGCAAAATGGCAAAATCCCTATTCTGGTCTCTGGAGAATAAAT